TACCTTCCTTCTTCCTCCCCTCCTTTCCCCTTCCCCTTCCCCTCCCCTTCCCTTCCCTTCCCCTTCCCCCCTCCTTTGAGAAGGAACTGGGCAATACTTAACACACTCCAAAACTATCCCCTTCTCCAGGGTTCCAGAACCTGTGCTTAGCTCAGAGCTCCCTAACAGCCATACTGTACCCAAGATCATGGAGTCTTGCTTAGAATCTCTCTAGGACAGGAGAACCTTCATAGTTTCTCTTACATGCTTGGGTCCATTCTCCCCACTAGAATATCAGACCATAAACATTGTCTTGTTTTATTCTTGTCACTTCTGATTGTGCCTAGTACTACCAAGAGTGCAATTCAGTTGTTGAATTTGAATCATAAAATTCCTTCTGGGTTTGGAGACAGTACTAATCTAATTTATAATTTATAATTATATACATACTTGAGCATTCTATTTATAGAGACTGTAGTAGGAAGCCAGGTAGAAATGATGAAGAAACCTGTGAAAAATCATTGATTTGGAATGGACCCAACTGATAAAACCAAATCCTTGTGCTTTTCCCCAACAAGACAGCAGCTTAGGAGTATGAGACTGAACTGGTCCAATGGGAAGGATTATCTGACACTGGTAAGATAGAAGGATGAAGTGAAACAGGAGCTAAGCCCCAGGAAGCTTGATTCAATTGTTCAGGAAGAAAAGATGTGCAGGCCAGGGTGGGGAGTAAGCAACTTGAGACGCTGGGAAGTCAGTATGGCTGCGTCTCAAAAACCCAAAGTAGATCTTCCATGTGACTCATCTGCGTCTCTCCCAGGCATTTTCCCAAAGGACTCCCAAGTCAGCAAAGTGCAGAGCTGCTTGCACATCAATGTTTAATGCAGTACCACTCACAATAGCTGAATCGTGCAGCCAGCCTCTGCATCCAACAATAGAGGAGGAGATGAGAAAAATGCACGTGCACAATGGACTATTTTTCAGCTATGAAAAAGAATGAAGTTTTGTTACAGTCATGGTTCAGGAACCCAGATTTAGATTGCCCCAAATTCTATACGTCAACATAGTTCCAGTTGCATGAAGTTTGTATAATAACAGAACAAAGGATGTCATGAATCAAACCCTTTGTTGAATACATTGATAGGTAAATCAGATTACAGCAAAGCAGAGAAATCTCTGCCTAGGCCTCGGATGCTAACTGATAACGTTCTCTGAAAATCCCAACATTTTGAAAGTCCAAAGTCTGCTAACTGTGAGCTGTGAAATGAAAACAATTCACATGCTTCCAACTTATGATGGCACAAAGTAACATTCTTATTCCAGAGAAGAATCATGCTTTACAAAGCCCAAGCTGATCAAAACAAAACCAAAGCCATTAGGGCAGATGTTGAATTTTGTTGCTCCTACATCCAACATCTGGGCACATAATGTAATCTTGGCACCAAAGGGCGTACCCTCCAGGTCTGCCACCTACAGCCCACACAGCTCCTCTCTTGGCCTTAGGTTAGCTCCATTCTACACCCACAGCTCTCCTTAACAGAAATTTATGGTCCTGACACCTCTGATATCCTGGAGTCTCCACTGTGGTTGAGATTTCCCCTTTACCAACATCCTCTCAGGCCTTCTTTATTGGAATCCCAACCACATGACAGAGTCCCAGGCCTCAGTTGCTCCCCGTAACCCCCTCAATCTTACATCTTTAATGTCTCACAAGCAGTACTGCATGGATGATGCTTACATTGCCATATTCTGCTGCCAGCTGAAGATGTAGCCCAGCCCCCTGAGCCATCTTTGTGTTCGCCCCTGCGTGCTGACACTTGGGTAGCACATTCCTATTGTCCCAAGGAAGCACAGATTTCACTGGAGTAGCACTAATCACAACTGCTTCTTCAGCTCCAGCTTAATCAGCACACAGAGAATCTTGGTAAAGGCTTCACATGAACAGCTGTAATATATCAATACAGTTGCGATACAATTGCTGTCCCTATCTAAAACTCTACAAGCCAAGCCTCAACTGTCCACTGTCTCTAAGCATTCTTATCCTCTAAGCTCCACCTAACTATCCCATCGAGATCCGCTTCCAGCATCCACTGGTTTTTCCAACCCAACAAGCCAATTGTTTCCACATTCCAACAACAAAAGAAAAAAAAAAAAACAGTAGGCTTAAAAGCTACCATTGGGTTTATCACAGCTAGAGCCCCGATTTCTGTGATTTCTATATTAGTCGGGGTTCTCCCAGGGAGCACCAACAATTGAATGTTTATATATTAAAAGAAGATTTCTTAGGCTGGCTTATATAATATGACTGGAGTGGTCTACAATGGTTATCTCATATTAGAGAAGCCAAGAGCCCGTGGTTGTTCAGTCCATGAGGACACATGCCTCACCAATCCCAATTTGACTCAGGGAGCCTGGAAGATTGCAGGAGAGCGGCTGGTTGTTCGTCCTCGTGGGAAGCTTAAAGAAGCTGATTCCAACATCAATGACAGAATCATCAGGATCCTCAGTCCATGCTGGAAACCCAGAAAAGCCAGTTCTAATATCGGAGACAGACTCAGCAGAGGCAGAAGCAGGGTGGATGAACTTGCCCTTGAGTGTGGAGGTCAAGTGTGCAAAGGAAAAATGATAGCCAAAAACTTTGCCTTCGTCCATGCCCTTTTCTCTGCATCACTACTGGAGGGTGCTGGTCACAGTTAGAATGGGTCTTCCCACATCCATTAAGGCAGCCAAGACAATGCCCCCATCCCAGACATGCCACAGAATAACCCAATGCAGGCAATTCTTCACCAACACTCTCATCTCTCCATTGTGACTCTAGGTTGTGTTAGGTTGATAATTAAAGCTGACCCGCACAGTGCCCCTCATCTCTTCTCATCAGGGAAGAGAAGGCTTGCCCTTCAAGCTCAATCCAACTGTGTCCACTCCTTTGCCCCCATTTTCCTGTTAACTTTTAAATGCTTAATGGCAGAAGAGGGACACCGTCTCAACTGAAGCCCCACACTCTTTGCTCTGTGGGTCCATAAGTTTTTGACTTTATGGCTTCTGAATGCTTGTTTTCAGACAATATAAAATGTGCCTGCCTCTCAGTGTTTAGCTTGCCAGCAGGATGCCTGTCTCCAGCCAGCAGGATGGTTGCCTTGTGCTGTTTGGGTTTCTAACCCATCTGGCTGACAGCAAGCAGTACTGGTCAGTGTGCAAAAGGAGAGTGGGCTTTAGATTAACCTTCATCATTAGCCAGAAGCTGCCCTGCGCTGGTAAAATCTTACGTCTGTGTTGGCTGTTGATTCAACTGGAGTAGGGAAAATCTGAAGTTATTCACCTGCTGCTCGGGTACCTTCTACATTCCATGGTGCCTTGAAAGAGGTCTTAATGGTGAGTCAGGAGACCTACCTTCCAGTGGTCCTCTGTTATCTAAGCAGTAAAACTCATACAGCCTTGATTTAACTTCCCAAAAGAGAAGCAAGATGCCAGGTTAGTCCTCTTTTAGAGCATATTGCTATTTAAAATCAGGAATTATGTGGAATTAAACCTGTGTGTTTATAAGTGTACATATGTGTGTGCATGTGCTTGTGTGTGTGTGTGCATGTAAGTATGCGTGTGGGTGTGAATGTATTTGCTCATGTGTGTACACCCATGAGATGAAATGACAGAAATGAACAGAAGCTGCCTAAGTAATTCCTGCTATTTCTGGGTACCATCCATTATGAAAAACACATTAGGAATAGGCCAATGACGACACCAGCCTGTAAGGATCATTCTGAAAGCGCCTAAGCAGCCTGTCCAGGATTAGCTCAGCATCCTCCCAGGAGGGAGGAGTAAAGAGCTCTGGGTAATGACCAGAGCAGAGATGATTTGGGTTCCAGGGAAGAGGCATTTGCTGGTTGCTGATTTATCTTGGAGATGAGCTGCCTTGGCCTCAGAAATGTTAATTACAGACAGAAAGCAGGCAGGACACTGAAGCATAATGCTATCTTAGGAAAAGCATATGGTTTGGAATTAAGCCGTCCTGAAGACAGTTCCAGCTCTGGAACCAGCTAGACACTCCTTCTAAATCGAATTCTGTTGTTGGTAACATGGGAATCACTAGATCTTGCCTGGATTTAAAAAGGATTACCGATAATATATGCCAAATGCTGGGCACATGGTAAACACATGCTAAATGTTATTCATTTTTATCAATGAGACCTGGGAAAGGGACAAGAAGTGTGGCCCAATTTGTAGCATTAGATACACTGGGGATTTTGCTGAATTCCACACATGTGGAGGCATTGCCTGACCCTTGTGTGACTCTGCAGGGAGAATCTTGACACAGTGCTGTGTAGGGAGCATTGTTGTCTGTTATCAAAGTAGCCAGTCCAGCAAAGAATTACACTTCCAGAACCTTACCCTTTGAACTAAGTCGACAATCATGTCTGGAGTCAGGCTTTCTTTTTGGCCACCAGCCCCAAATAATGATCTGGAGACTTAGTAATTATGAAAGCTTGGCCTTTAGCTTAGGCTTGTTCCCAACTAGCTCTTTTTGTTTGTTTGTTTGTTTGTTTGTTTGTTTTTGTTTTTGTTTTTTGAGACAGGGTTTCTCTGTGTAGCTTTGTGCCTTTTCCTGTAACTCACTCTGTAGCCCAGGCTGGCCTCGAACTCAGAGATCCACCTGCCTCTGCCTCCTGAGTGCTGGGATAAAGGCATGAGCCACCACCGCCTGGCCCAACTAGCTCTTATAACTCAAATTAACCCTTGTCTATTAATCTACATTCTGCCACATGAATTTTTACCTTTCTTCCACTCTGTATGTCCAAGTCCTTCTGTGTCCTGCTGCCATCTCTCTCACGCCTAGATGTATCCCAAGTTCTGCTCTCTGCCCTGAAGTCCTGCCTGTTCTCTCCTGCCTCGCTATTGGCCACTCAACTATTACTTATTCATTTTTAATAAACATATTAAACCAATCACAGTGACACATCTTCACACAGTGTAAACAAATACTTCACAATACTTGTCAGATTGTGAAGTCACACTCCCCCCAATGGGATGAAAAGAAGCCATCACCTACATCAGGGATAAAAGACAAGAGCCATCTTGCTACAGAAAGTCATGACTCCTAAATCTCCAGAGAGGTATCGTTAGGATGGCAACTGAGTTGGAAATGAGGAACAGGGGACTTTGGTTTATGTTGACACATTTTTGTCCTTCATAAACTTATGTGCAAATCCCCTGGTTCAAAGACAGGGGGACTTAGGGTGATATGGGGGAAACCCTCCTTTTTGCCATCTAGCATGGGGATAAAAGCAAGAGGATGACACAGAAATTCATGTGAGCTGGATTATCAGGGATCATCTCGGCCAGCTCCTTCCTTTTATACTAAAAACAATAGTAAGATGGGAAGGGGAAAAAACTATTGGTCAAATGTTAGGGTAAGAGTGGACATAAGTGTAGCATCTACTTTTCAATCTACTCGCCCTCTACCCCAGTGCAGAGCTGATGCACACAAATGTACCTATTGGAAATAGGTCTAAAACCAACAAGCAATAGGGTTTTTACTGGTTCTCCATAAGAATGCTAACTATTTAGTAAACATGAACATATAAGAGCTGCACTCATGGCAGAGATGAGCAGAGTATGGAAAGCAGCCTCTAGAAATTCAAGGAACTGTAGTAAACATTGTGAAAAATAATTATGCTAAGTGTTAAATAAACATTGGCTAACTGCTTACATGGGCATTCAAAGATAAATCATATCATTCTCATTCCCAGGCACTTTGGTCCCATGTGTAGAGTCTCACACCATTAACCTACAGAAAGAGTAGGAGGATCATAGACCATGGGTTTGTTGGTCAATCTGCTTCAGAGACTAATGACCTTGAACAAGTGACAAGATGCTTTGAGCCTTGGTATCATTATCATGGTGAGGTGATAATATCTGCCTCACTGGGCTATAAAGAGAATAAAAGGATTTAATGTGAGCACAGAAACCTAGTAAATGTTTAGAAGTCTATACAAATGTTAATTGGGGCTATTGTCTTCTCCCTTGACACTGAACTTGGCCTTCCTAATAAAGCTCCAAGAGAAAAGGCAGAGCTGACCCTCAGCTACACACACACACACACACACACACACACACACACACACACACACACACACAAATCCTCTTTCAGGTAAAACACATGAATTATCTGAAATCAAGAATAGGAGCAGGTACCTTTCAAGGGCACTCAACTTTGAAGGGCTCTTTTTGTTCTTCTTGTGTTTCCCACTGTCATTTCATAGTTTCATTTAGCTTTTTCTTTCCACACATCCTCTTGGACCAATTCTCTCTGCTTTCCCTGTTATCCATCTCAAGGAAAAATATGCAATAGAAGTGCAGATTAGCTCACATCCTCAGCAGAAACCTCAACCTGGCCACTAAGAAACTCCTCTAAGATGTTCTGATGTCCATATTATGGCTGAGCAACTTCCGGCACTATGAGGGCTAATAACGTCTGTATCAGTGGTTCTCAACCTATGGGTTGCGACCCCTTCTGGGGTGTCACATTTCAGCTATCGTGCATACCATTACAGTTCATGACAGTAGCAAAATTACAGGTATAAAGTAGCAATGAAATAATTTTATGGTTGGGGGTCACTGCAGACAAGGGACTGTATTAAAGGTTGCAGCATTATGAAGGTTGAAAATAACTGATCTATACCAGCCCCCCAACACACACACACACACACACACACACACACACACACACACACATGTAGCTAGAGTTTTCCTGTCTTGCCCACAGTCAGGACAAATCTTTGTC